AAGTTGGGGGGGTAGATAAGCTGGCTGTGCCGGTTCGTTTGGCGCCGGATTTAGGTCCCTGGGAGCGCTAGTTGCTACGTTCCCTTCTGATGGTTCGTAAGCTTTGTATTTGCTTAGGTAGCTGTGAATATAAAAGAACCTAACAGCGCTACTGAGAGAGGATATCCCGAGAATCTAATAATGGGCACGGCGTACCGGATCGACTTTTAAGGTAGATAAGACCGAGCTTATCTACTTTACGAGAAACACTAATTAGGATAGCCTAGTAACCGTAACAATGGGTAGACACGAGGTTAAACTAATAAAGGCGGTAAAGCTACTCGGAGTAGTTCTCGACTAAGAACTTAGATGGAGAGCGCATGTCTAAAGAGTAATTAAACGAGCTACTATAACCTGCTTAGTAATAGGCAGGCTAGGGCATCTTAGACCGAAGCAACTCCGCTAGCTATACTAAGCCTACGTAGTCCCGTAGATAGACTATACCTCTATAGTCTAGTACTCCCCCAATAGGTGTAAGTAGCAAATATCGGTTCTCTCTAAGGTCCAACGGCTAGTAACAATAAAGGCTATCTCTGCCTTTCGTTCGGTATCGATAGAGACCCTAGATATAGAGAACTTTATTTTGCCTATAAGAATACGCCTCGAATCTAAAGCAGCAAGAGTTATTACTAGTCTTAGGGGGCTACCCACCTCGTACCCTGTATACGCGTTGGTCCCTAAGATCGATAAAACCCGGAACAAACCAGCGAGCTTCTTAAGTCCGCTAAAGGCGACCCTAAAACTTAGTAGCCTAATCCCGTACTAAGAAACCGAAACGATAGACATCTGCCCACCTCCTCCCTAGTAACCACTCCCGGTAGAGATTAAGACAACACTGCCCCCGGATAAAGATAAGGTGTTCCTAAGTTACGCGGAAAAGAGAGACCCGCTCTCCTAGGTCTATACAGATGCTTCTAAGATAAACAACCAGCTAGGAGCAGTAGTAGTTATTCTAGACCAAGCCGGGAACGCCCGATATAGTACGCTTAAAGGAGTTAGATCTAGCAATTTCTACACAGTACAAGCAGCCGAACTAATTGCTATTCTAACGGGGATAGAGCTAGCAGCTGAAAAACACCTACAAGAGGGACCCTATAGCCTAACCGAATACGTTATCTACAGCGACTCCAAAGCCGCCCTCCAAGCTCTAACTAGGAGATATAAAAAGAGATCAGGCTAAAGCATCGTACGGTCTATCCTTAGTACAGCCTAATCTCTCCATAAAAGTCTTCAAATAAGTTTCACGATCAAGTAGATCCCAAGCCACTATAGTATCCAAGGAAATGAGGAAGCAGATAAGCTAGCTAAACAAGCTACAATACGTCTTAGAGAATACAGCTTCCTACCCTTAATACCGCTGCAAGTCAAAACATCTCTCGAAGCAGCACACACACAATGGAACAAAGAATAGAAAGCGTCAGAGAAAGGCCAACACCTCCGCAACGTAGATACAGCGATTCCTAGACCACACGTAAGGCACCTCTACGACAAACTCCCACGTAACCTAGCAGGGCT